ATTTTTACTTTTAGGTACTTGTTTTGTTTTTAAGGAATGAAGTTATTAAAGAAGTTTGGCTTTTCGATACGCTATGAAGAGAATTTGTCGCGCAGAAATGATTGAGTCGCCGAGAGCGGCAGCAGGCAACCGCACGTGTACGTCGGCCTTTGCCCGCGGCGCCGCAACTGTCACGTAACGTGACCGTGACGACGTGCTCGCGGTCACGCTCCACAATAGTATCGCGTAACACGTCACTGAGTTAAGCACGCTTATGATTCATAATAAATATTTGATAAACGATTTGATATATTTAGGTATTGAAAACCATCAAAAATCTCTACAATTTTAGCACATTAATTAAAACTTAATATGAACTAAACTTAAAATTAAAATACTGTATATGTTGGAATATTTAGAGCGTGTGCTAGATGTGAAAATAAAAAAAATACTTATACAGAATCAAGCTTTTGTAAGCTTACGAGCTCGCTCCGTTTCAGCTCTATAACGTAATTCGATCGCCGATCATTCTTTGCTAGCAACGTTTCTTTGACAACCTGCACTCGACTTCGATATAGAACAAAAGTATAATGGCGACTGTACACTAGTCGATCGCAATTTCCCAGCTGTCTTGTGAAGGCATTGACGTGGCGTCAAATCACGGGACCGTTACGTCACGATACGGGATCACTGAGTCGTCACTTCGAGTCTACACCAACCTAAGGTTATGAGATTGTAGCATTACGCTACTGAGTCGCTACGCAGTAACCGTATGGGATTACCGTGGCATCAAACTACGGATCCGCTACGACGTCACGCTACAGTTTTGTAGTAAGAAGCGTTAGTTCTCACGAATCTTTACCTATGTATTTTAATACACATTGGTTTAACTGAGAGACAATTTAACGAGATTCAGAATATGGACTGAAGCCAAATAAGGTGCGACCTAGGATAAAATTCCTCGAACCACGTCAATGTGTCGTGCGATCCGAACAATGTTATTCTAATAGAAATTTCAAAGGTTCCAATTGCACAATTCTACTAGAATTATTATGTTCTTTGAATTGCAAGTATTGTCTAGTAGTACAGAAATGTGTGAAATAAAACATTTACATTTCATAATTAATGTTACAAACATAATCTCAATTTTTATTTAAATACATAAATAATTTATTTTGACGTCCAACAATAACTTCTACATTATTTTCAATCACTGCTTATGTATTCAGTCCATTGGGTCAATGATTTTATTAATTTATAATTATAATAAAACATCTTTATTACCTTCGTGACTGTACCAAATCTGTGTAACTATTCACAACGTATTCTGTTTACAGAATAGAAAGTACTACGCAAGATTTTATGTGGCAGCGTTATCGCGCTTTTAGTTTTTATTACAACAATGAACCAACTATCAAGTTAAAAGCTTCCGATGAAATCTTAGTTGGCGTTTATGGTTACAAGGAAGTAATACGAAAATACACTGAAGTTAAATAACAAATTTAGTACCGCTTTGCTTCCTTTAATTAGGAAAGGAAACCATTTTTAATAAAAGTACCAATAGCTTAAGAGTACTTATTAAAAAAAATTACAAATTACATTTATTTTGTAACCGATATTAATTAGATACGACCCACATATATACACTTGCCGCTGTAAAATTGTCTGATTTCAATTATATTTTCATACAAATTCTTATTAAAGAAATATATCGAAGGGTACAGCTGTATTCAGTATGAACCTTGAAGCGTTGAAAGTACATAAACCCTATTTTACTTGTTTCACATCAACAATGGGATTATATAGGCTCAGGGAGTGTTAAGCGAAATTTTGCAAAGCGAAAGGACTAACGGGGTCTGAATTATGCGATTACATTGGATTCCAGTTCGTAAAGAACACGCAAATTCGATTTTCCTTCCAAAATATATTCATATTTTATTTTTTCATTCACTCAAGAATTGTCTTTTGTTTGTAAAATTAATTATATAATAATTGTGATAAAAATTAAATCAAACGAGATGAAGAATTACATTACACGATACAAACAGAATACAAGCGCTTATTTTTTAATAGTTACTTTATACGTAAATAACAAAACTAAAAAACTTTAGAAAGACGACGAGCCGCTGGTGTGACATACAGGTAGCATGTCGCGACATGTCAGTCATTTTATCAGATCTTTTGACCGACAAGGATATCTGATTCGGTAGACATAAGTCAAACTAAATTATATCAGCTCACTACCGCCTCTCAATGTTAAAAAAGTGTCACAAAGTTATTCATACTGTAGGTGTCAGGGCATTTTTTCTTTTATACTATTTTGTATGCTCAATGGTTTTACTTATTTTCCGACAAAACTAGCAGCGTCTCTATTCCTAGTATAGATATAATTCTTTGATTATAATGATAATGCGCCATGACTCGCGAATAGTCGAATAAAACACTTGACATATACATTTACAATAATGGTTCGTACCACACTTCAGGGTAGCCAGTCGCGACATGTCGCTAGTTTCCTTGGCGGTCGTTGGTAATGCGTCATGAATCGCTGAGTGTCAACACAAAAGCGGCTCATGTGACACGTGGCGGGTAGGCGTCTGTTTCATTCGCTCCCTCAGAGACCGCAGACAATACGTCACTGCGACCTCGTGAGACGCTAAGCGTCAACTAAATTGGCGATATTTTACGATCCAGCCGTTACTGGCGCCGTAAAGAGAGCGGGTTTGCGGCAATTTTACGATAGTTATCGCCGTGACCTGCACCCTTATTACGGTGAGAAACGACGCTTCGTGCCGGGAGATGATATTCCACTGATCATATTCATTCTTTAGTAGGTTTAGTGCCCACTTTACTAATCTCAGTGGTTACGTAAAATAATGAATAAAAACACATTTAGATCTTTTAATATTTACTAGGAACAATATAGACTTTTAAACGTCAATTAGTGTAGATCTCATAAGTAGCGGTAAGTTCTTAACTAAATTTAGGATCCTAATTAACGGATATTTTCAGATGAAAGATATTTGTGTAGAAAAAAATGTGTCATACGCTTTAAGCGTTAATTATTTGTCTATGCGTACGTGTAGATCGCTAATTTTGGTAAACAAAGCACCCTAAGTATATTCGATTTATTATATAGTTAGAGTATCGATATAGTCTCACAAAATATGATCGCGCGACCGAGCCCGGTACTTGGTTCCGATAGCGCGCTGAATGCTGGATTAAACAGACGTTTATCGACCGTTAGCAAATCCTCGCTTCACCAGAAGTGATTTCGTTATTTAACTGTACTCATAAAGTGTAGTTATTACCCAATATGTTACAGTTATAAAGTACATAACATTTCATTCAATAACATTTATGTAATGGTAAATAACATATTCAGTACATTTTAATATAATGGAAATGGCAGTAAACTATTTTTATCTCTTATTTTCATTTTAAATTAAGAATGTGTTTAAGTAGACTGTTACATATTTTCGTAGCATATCCTACGCTACCCGGTAGGCGCGGTTACAAAAGTTTTATAACATTAATAACAAATTTTTAAATTAATGAACAAAACTCATTTATAATTTTTCATCATTTTCAAAAGAAAAGCAACTGCTATGAATGAAGTATTTTGTCGAATACTAACTTGACTCGTAGCTTTTCAATTTGTCGTCTCAAGCATCAAAGTCAGAATGCAAGACTAAAATCCCGCTTAATTCAAAATGAAATCCTCGACAACCATAACGCAAAGAAGCTCATAAAAATGATTTTATCGCCCGCCAAGGCGCCGTTGGTAATTAAAGCGAATTAACAATTTGCCGCGCTGTTCGGTACATCTGTACTTAATAAGTTTATCGTTCAATAATGACAGAATAGGCAGGCGTTTAAGGCGTAAAAAGCTTAATGTATACATAAAGACAGCCTCGCTTAGGCAACTAACAAACCGCGCAGCGCTATTGCGGAGTTTACGGTCTAAACTCAATTAAAATCCGACGAATTTGGAGCGGGAACGAAATGAAATTAAACTTGCGTCACACCGAGACGCTCCGTCGCGTCTGCGAATATGATGTGCCGAGCGGTGTCGCATCGACGTAAAGGAAGTTTCACACAAGGGTAGCGCTGTGTGAAGAAACAGCAGCTCAGTAACATTTTTGTTTGAATAAATAGTTACAGTCAAAACAGAACTGTTCTGTCTGGGTGTGTCCGTTAAATCAATTGCAGTAATAAATAGTACAATAGGTTGTTCTGATTTACTATGCTGCCCTCGTGTGAAGATAGCTTTACAATACAAAATAGTATAGTTGATACGAAAACCACATAGTGTACTATATCGATATTTTAAGGCAATGCGATTTATCGTTTGTTTCTGAGACGAAAATTTGTGTATTAAACATAATGTCATCCCTGTCATCATCTTTAACAAAACAGAGATATCAATATGTTTCAATCAGAGATTATGGTGTCGGAAACCTACTGTTACTTGCTTATAGGATTGTCATTTTTTAGTGATATTTACGAATTAAAATGGAAGGTTAATTTGTTTTATAGATATTCTTAACTATTGTGAAAGCAAACAAACGTGAATTTAATTAGAATTTAAATTTTACTTGTTCACTACTTACGTATACACAAATTATCAATTTCCGAAATAGATGAAGAGTAAGTTCAAGCCTCTCTGACTTTGAAACACAGGTGAAATTCACTTTCAGTACTAATACCACGTAAATCTTCTCAGCGCCGAAACCTAACGACTGAGAGAAATTTATTTCACCGCGAGAGCCTTAAAATTCTTTCTCTCAGTCTTGCCGCTTGAATAAATTTGTTTCCAGTGACTAAGGTGCATGTCAATGGAAATAAAAAAGGTTTTATAGAATTATCCTATAATACAGAACTTAAACTTTTGTCTAATTAAACGATTTAGGACAGAAGTTACTTCATCATAATATGTAAATTATATTAGTCTTTACTACTGACTACTGGCTGGCTACACATGGTTGTAACGTTTTAAAAAAAAGTAGAATAGAACGTACCTTTACTCGCGCCGTCAGGTCCACGCAGTATGGAGCACTCTTCTATAGTGCCGTACGGCGTGAACAACTGCCGGACATCGTCCTCCGTCTGCTGTTTGCTGAGCATTCCAACGAACAGCTTCCGATCTGCGGCGAAAAAACACCATCAGTTTTATTAGAAAATTCCACAGAACGCGAAACCACAATAAGCCTAGCGGTGGTGCGTGGAGCGGCGGACTTACGACCCCGTGCCAATTGCATATCCCCGAAAAAAAAACAAAATGAAAACTCGATAAAATTGAGTTAGGCGGTTTCGCTGATGACCGGGCGAGTGCGAGTGACGGGCTTTCCATTTAACTACATGTAGCGGACTTTTTTACAGTCTGTTTTGTACTATATTCAAACTTGTATACAATATGTAAATTGAAAAGTGAAACAAATGCGCTATACTAAGAAAGTTATATTTGAAACGCGACAAACTTTACAACTTATTAAGTATTCAGTATGTTATTGGATGTAACGATAAGTTTGAGACTTGAATGACAAAGAAATAACATAAGTAGTTTAAGAAAATATCTCGTAACTCTATATTTTCTTATTTAAATAACTTTTTAACAAGTTCGTAACAAGTTTTATCTTAGTACGTTATGAATTAGTCGGTCGCAAATTTGATAGAAAAAGTAAATAAGAGTATTTTAAGGTTTTACATTGAAAGGTTATTTTGGTAATACTAAATTTAATAAGTGATGCAAATTTTAAACACCCTGTATAGGTATGATTGTCCCGTGTCACGCCGCCGCCCGACACGCGACCCGCGCTCGCGGCATCACCCACTGGTGATGACTGAACAAAACAACCACAGCTTCTATAGAACACATATTACACACAGTTTTAGTCAAAATGAAACAACGAACAAAATTCAAACCCAGACCAACACATAATTAGCACAATACACTAAATGGTGATGTTTCAAACGCAGAGGGTTCCGTAGGAGAATATATTTCAAAATAAATAGAATAAAAAAATATGGAACAATTTAAATTGCACACAAAGAAGACCAGGTACTTGTAAAGCGAACTACGGAGCCCTCGGGGTGTATAATTCAATTAGCTCGGGGCTTCATTGCTCTATTTGGGCGACTTCTGCGCGAGCAAAGTTTTTGACAGTTATCAATAAATTATACAAAATGTCGGCACAATCAAAAAAGGGACAAATTTTGGCGCGTACTTTTGCGGCAGGCTCTTTACAGAAATCAACTGTTTAGTTTAAATTAACGACAAAATAACATAAATTCACACTAATTAAATCTCGACAATGATTACGAAAATAAAATATATGTCTTACAGCACGACGATTACTAAGTGCAGAGTGAGCGTAACAATAAAACGTTCGATGTCGAATCCACATCGCGCCGGTGGAGTGTGCCTTGAGCGGGCTAAGTCATAGGGGACCTTGGGGACACATGGATGAAAGAAAAACAGTTTGTTATAACAAAACAATTGCAATATCACATAAAACAAATAATAATAAAGTTTCTAAAAGATCGAATAAAAAAATTATAAAAGAGAAAATATCATTGTTCCAACTTTTTCCTTTCAAAGCTTATTTAATTAATCCCGCAAAATTAAATCGCGTCTGTCCATTATCTTCATTAAAATGCGACGGTCATTAGGAAAATGTGTTCTAAAATATTGTGTTAACAAAAGTTTTGCAAATTTTAAAACAGTTCAAAATTACTTCACGACTTGTTATTATATTACATCATTTTATGAAGCGTATTAAAATATTTTTTACTTCAAAAATTATTGAAAATAACTCTATTTACACAAAAAACAAAACAGAGTCGTATACAAAATAAAATACAACAAATTTACAAAACAATAAAAAATAGAGTTTGTGTCAAGGCACATTCCAGTAGATTCGACGCGGAACGGTCTCACTTGCGCTATTCCAAAGACAGTGATACAGAACAGAACAGCCTAGGGCACGCACAACAAACTCTACCTGGGTCTGCCTAGGCGCGCCGCCCGCCCGCGCCCCCTGCAACACACAAACAGGCTACACACCACCACTACATCCCCCCACCACTTATCGCCTCACTTAGCTTCACTTATATCATTGGGAATCTATTTACTACAAGCGGGTGGAAAGTTTTAGTGTGTGCTTCGAATTATCATGTTTGAAATTAATCAATAAATATATAGTAGCAGTACTTTATAACATCTTTTAAAACAGCTAATTCCCGGGACATGGTCATTGTATCTATCTCCTTACTAACACCAATCGTGAACTAAATCTATATATAGATTACATTAATATTATCGTAAAATACGTTGTCGCATATCAGCAATATTATAGATAACTCTTGAATTTTTATAAACAAAAGTCCGCCCCTATAATTATCTCTTTAAGTTTGATTTTTCGATTCATAATTCTTAATTGAAGTAAAATCTTTCTCGATAGAAAGATTCGTTTACGTTGGTGTAAAAATTTAACGTGGCAATGACACAAATAGACAGACAGTTTACAGTGAATATTATATTATTAAAATCTTTAAGTACCGGAAGACATTTTTTTAAGCTTATTATATATATATTATAATTTTAGGCTGATTTTCTTTAAGCTTATATACGATGAAATATATACAAGAGCTATGTTAATATAAACACATCTTGGCTTCTAAAATATAAAATCTACCAAAGTGAATTTATCTCCATTTTTGCCCACTATACCCATTAGCTTCAATACTTTGTCATTATTTTTGTTAAAAAAATGATTCAGATTTACTGGACATGTAAGCGGCGATCGCTTTGTTGGATTCAATGAATTTTTATGTTCATTAAACCGACTCAGATTCGATATCGGGATTACTCTGGTCGTAAGCCCACGTTACTGGATTAATCGTTACAAATAGAGTCCAACTGGATTGAAACAAAAATTATTAACCGATTCTTTAACCAGTGCGCTTGTTGTTAGTACACTTTAATATTAGTATGAATTAACTCCATGAAATTTATATCTGTGCTAACAAAGCCACTTGTCATGTTTCCTTATAAAATAATATTTAAACCGAGCACTATATAGAACAAGTTAACTCAGTTACTATTTGTGACAGTATCTAGGACAAGGTAATAAGGACATGGCTAGTATAAAAATATTCAGTAGCTAAGGTCGATTATTGAATATTAAAAATAAAATGAGAAAACCATCGTATAAAGGTCAGTGCTACTTTTTTTGCCTTTATACATCGAACCAGTTTTTTATATTATTTTTATAACTATTAAAAACTGGTATTTTAATAAAATAGCTCAGTGTAAAACACAGAAGAAATAAACACTGATAAAATTAAGTGAGCGTCGGTAGCTCAGGGATCAAGTACTTGACTTGCAATCTGCAGGTCCAAGGATCGAATCCCGTCATGTACCAATGTGTTTTTCGATTTTCCGATTTACATATGTACTTTTATTCGACGTTCTTACGATGAAGTAAAACATCGTGATGCAACCTGCACATATCTGAGAAAAAAATTCAAAGATATGTGTGAAGTCAAGCACTTGGTCAGCGTGGTTGATTATGGCCTAATCATCCTTAACTTAGGGTAGGCTCCGTGCCCCTCGGTGTGTACGTATAGTCAGCTGATGATGATGATGATGATGATAAATTAAGTACACAACATTAAAGGGGAAATTGTTACAGTCAATCATTAATATTTTTAATACAGTGTCAAAGCCATTCTTACAAAAATACTTCCAAAATATTTTCAGTTCTTTCACCTAATGTTACATAAAATGAGGCAGCCAGTGAACTTAATTAAAGTATTTCCGACGAATTTCCGGCTAAAGACGTGGCGCTTGGTCCCCCGACAAGAAACAAACGGTCCACCGGGAAACATGTTTCGGCACACGTACTCGCTACGTGTCCTGAAACATTGTTCGAAAATATTAGAACCGGTGGCGGGCGGTCATTAAATTCAGATTTATACCCGGCCAGCCGGATATCTCTCCCGTGCGACTCCGCTAATGACCGCCTAAATTGTGATAATTTCACAGCAGAGTTGGTTGTAACGGCGGCCGTACATTCGCACCGTCCCGCCTGCTTTTGGCACAATCGCATTTTATTTATTTCGTTAATAAGCGAGCTTACACTTTGTTCTTAATATTGTGGAAGAAATGTAAACATATAAACCTAAATTGTGTTGCTTACTCAAAACCCCATAGCGGGGTAACAAAATAGATGTAAATTATATTAAGAAAAAGCTTAATTACTAAAACTAACTATATAATAAAAACAAATGAACTGACAAATTAAGTGGGACTTAACCAACTCAATGCTCGGTGGATACTTAATGCTATTTCACACAAGGGTAGAAAATAGGTCGGTTCCCGGAGTAGTGCGTTCAATTGCAATACTGCACTGTCTTACTGTACTTCTCTACACTTATGTGTAACTAGAATAATGCGCCGACTGTACTCTCGCCTCCGCTCTTGCGTTCACTCTTGCTCTCCCTTGCTCGCTCAGTCGTTCACTCCCATTCCGGCTTCGAAGTCATTCTCTTTCTCGCTCCGTCATTCACTCCCGCTCCCGCTCATCACTCGCAACGTTTCTCATTACGCGTTAATGCGAACACTCCCGTGACGCGGCGCGTTCAACACTACGTTTGGACAGTGGCTAAATAAACTAATTAGCTACGAATGACCTCCGATTCCTTTGGACGCTCGTAAATGCAATTTAATGTAACACAACGAAGTAATAATGTTGATTGTATAGTGATTTTGGGCGTTGTTTGGGGCTTATCTATAATTAATATTTACTTCGGATCTCACGGCTGACCCTTCCTTTGTAACGGTCCATCAATACCCAAGGGTACAGTTATATTTTGGTAAATAACGTGTTGATTTAATGATATCGCTTGATAAATTTAAGTCATAAAGTTATAATAATTATTGTCTTAACGATAACAACAGGGTACATATTTCAAGTCCGTCATATATTCGATATTTTAGCGCTGTAAAAATGGAGCATCGCAAAAATAAGTACAGATATGTAACAATTGACGTCTTGATTTGAAATTAAGTAAAGCATCAGGTAAAAAAATTGAGGAAGAAAAATTTTTATAGATTCCTCTCGCACGAAACTGAGTTGAAGAT